TTGTTGCGTGACAAGTACTGCACACAGAGCGCGTGTAGTATCAGGCTTAGATGGTCACAATTGCAGATGGTTAGCTCCCATCCTTGATGGTCTAGGGTGAAGCCAGACCTGGCTCAACCTCGAACCGATGTTGGTGGCATACCCTACCGATGCCACCTTTGATTTACTTAAGGTAACCTTTGATTGGTTGAACCCTTGGATACGGTATTCAACGCGTCCATATGTCTTACAATGTTAATGCCTGCATGGCGCTTGCTAGTGGGCGTACGTGGAAGACTCAGGAGGGGGCACGGGCTGTCAAGGCTAAACGAGCTTGGACCAGTCAGACTCGACAAGCTTGCACAAGCCCCGCACAATGTTACTAGCGACCCAGAGAACCTACTTACAGAACCTGGACAGACGTCAATTCGCCGGACGCATAGAAGCCATGCTACCATTCGATCTTAAGAAAAGTGCTAAAACACATGAAGCTCAGGAAAAATCGGGTTATAATAAATTACAATGGGACAGGTTCTACGTATAGCAGAATACTCTTATTTAAACGGAGCGAACGATGATCTGAACTGGTAGAACATAACTAAGGCCGAGATTAATGCACTAGTAAAGGCCAACCCAGAGGTTAGCTGGCCTTTAGTGCCAGGCAATGAATTGGCTGCGATCTACACTCGTGTTAATGCTCAACTACAAGCTGAGCATATTCCCGAAGTGCAATACGACGTTTTTAGTTGGCGCATGGTGCGCGCAATCCAGTACCGAACAAGTGGTGGGTGTCGTGGCATGCCTCAATATTCAACAGTGACTAACAGGCTACATACAGCTAGTGGAAAGAGCGGGGCGAAGACCACTAATACGGCAGCCGCTGGCCTCGACAAGGATGCCGGGCAGGAGTGACACACATTGAGCCATCGACGGGTACGGCTGGGCTGTTCACATCCCGCCACAAGCCAGGGATGCTGATCTTTCAATGTGTCCTTCACTAGTAAGCAATGCTCAAAGATCGTATTTGCTACTCTCTACCTTGTTGTATTTCTGCATCATATGTGTGGTGATATCCTTGTATTGGTCCATGTTGAAGGTCACATGACATCTGCCTGAGGGGATAAGGACACCTCTTGCGTATCGCCGTATTACATCGTCCTCTAGGTCCAACACCAAACTTCTGATCTCTGGAGATTCATTTATTTTAACGGCCGACTGCATCTTTCCTGTGACTTTAGACGTCTAACTAGGACTCTTGGTGGTGTTTTTAGGCGTGGTGAAGGACGTGGCAGAAGCGAACTTTATGACGTCGTAACATGGCATGGCGGTGATTAGCTGTCCAAATTCGACAATTGTAAACTAAATATATATATAAGCAAGACTATGGAAACATAGGCAAAGCCACATACACAGTTCAAAGACTGCGTGGACAGTAGTTATAAGTACATTCTAAAAATGTATAGCGTGTATTGACAAGGCACTTAGTAGCGCCTGGTGGCAGGTCACACTACAAAACATAGCTGCATAGGAACCTAGTGGATGGCATTATAACACTGAAGAATACCGGAGCTTGGAGAACACATTGCAGGCCGTGGGGCATAAGGGCAAGCTAGCATATACGACAGCTGAACGCTAGGGGGAGACTGAAGGTATTACGGTCGCAAAGCATGAGGCAACCGTGCCACCCACGAGCCTTGAAACAACGCTACACATATAAGGCTTTAAGTACCGCGCATACATAGGAAGACAATTCAAGGAACACAAATATAGGCAAACACGTTACTTCTAGAGACAAAATGTGCATAGTCATAGATAGAAGCCAGATGCGGTAGGCCTCTAGGGACAGATAGCTCTTTCAAGAGTAAAGTGGGGCGGCGCGGATCAAGGTCTGCACCACGTCAGCTGTCTACTAAGCCTGTCAACCAGGCATAGCTGCGATTCGTGGCTGAAACCGTGTAGGAATCAACCAACCAACCAACCTAATCAAATCAACATCTCATCAGACTGATGTGATCCGCAGGTAAACGTATAATACATTAGCCGTTAATGATAGCAGATTTAGTTAGGGAGTGTAAGGGGCTACGCTCAGGGATCTATCGCACAGGCATACTAATGATTGTATTCGATGGAGAAGAGAATTATAGACTGCTAAGGGTCTGAAGGTTAATTAGTAGCGGCTCGAGTTAACCTTCGGCCAAAGTTTAGGGGTTCAGCCTAAGCGTCTTTCAGACCCGTACCATGCGCTTATGCATGTGACTAAGATATCATCGAGGGCTTACTAACTGGGCTTCATGCCATCACAGGGAGCTCTGCTTATTTTCCTTCAACACTATTGTGCAGTTAGTAAAACGCTAGCTAGTTGCCCTGTGTACAGCATAGTAACTTACGCAAACAACCTTTGCAAGAATGGTTAGCTTGTAATCATAGTAAAATATAATACAACGTTAACTTACAATGCCAACAGCTCCTTCCCAGTCGCATCCCCTAGCCTGAGTGTCCGCGAGGATACAACCATTGCGTCCACGAGGAAAGGCGTTGGGGTATGGGTTTTCACCTCGAGTCCCAGCTTGAACACCCTACAGGATTGTCAGCGTCTTATTCTTGTGACACATTTGTGCTTTTGGCGTACGCAGAAATAATATGCGTTTGGGTTTGACGCGCACGCCTGGCTGTTATAATCAGCTGGCTTAGACCATCCGTCGTTGGTGTACCACGTGTAGTAGGCCGACGCCGCTGGCAAAAGACTTAGAAAAATTAGCTTCATGTTTGACGATAAGGTAGATTGATCTTTTGTGCGAAGATGGAGGATAGACCTGTGTTGCGAGTAGGACTTACTTGTAGTTACTTGGGTACTTATAGATAACTAGATTCCTACTTTTTCTTAGGAGCCGGGACTCCTAGATTACTAGCCGAAGTCGGCCCTATTTAGCTCGCTTTTTCTAGCGGTGTGACGAACGATTCTAATACCTTACTGTTTCTAGCGGTGTGACGAACGATTCTAATACCTTACTGTTTACATAGGGGTTGGGTTCTCTATATATATAGCGACTATTCCCAATTTAGTCTAGCTATTACCTATTTAGGGAATTCAACCATAACCCGACCCCACCTATCCACCTTAGCGCTTAGTATAGCACTGAGACAGGTGAGTCTGAAATTGCTGACTATGTGTGGGTTGTCTAGTGACTAGGTGGGATGGTAGGTATTTGGGCGAACAATCTACTTCTATATAAACGATAGAATAACTAAGCCTTAATCTAGGTTGGAGATAGAGTTATAAGAGTTAACTAATTACAACGAGCGTATGAAGGGAATTCTCTAGAATTATATACTTGTTGCATGTCTATGTGCTATCGCATCTAGAGACTGTTATCCCTAATAGTTACTCTAACTGTCAAAACATCACCTTTTCTTTCACTATTCCGGCTACCTTTGGGTAGCCTAACCCACTCTAGCCCCTATTAGTTGGCTCTTTCCCTCTCTTACGTATATAAGCAGTAGGAACACTACTAAGGCTCGGTAGCTATTCGTCTACGTGAATCGAGACTGTTTACCCTAATATCACTCTTGCTACTCTGTACCTGCGTCTAATTACACTTAACCGTCTCACACTAACCTGCGAGGGCTGGCATCACATTAGGAGTTGGCTATTACCCTTAGGACCTGCTATCACTGATGGCGCCGTCTAAGTATGATGACACGTGATCCTCGGGCGCCCTGCGCTAATCACTTCTTTGTTCCCTTTATGTTAGTTAACTTCTAACCCCTACTTTCTATATCCTTTAAAGGTCTAATATCGCACGGTTAGATGCAGGTGTTGTAGAAGGGATTTTTAGAGAGAGTGTATATTGTATTATTTGTAGCCTCCTAGCTAAGCTTATATAAAGCTTATCGCACGGCATTATTAGTAAAAAAGTTCCCGACAGCGCTTACCCTGCGACATCTAACCTATTTGTTCATAATAGTTAACTAGCGGTGGAGTGACACTAACTGGAAAGAAAACTCTAATTAACTATAGGCTAGAGAAGGACCGTGTTAAGAGTATATCTCGAGTGGAAGTAATATAAGACTTCTTTTGTTAAGCTTCTTATTAGTCAATTTTCGCAGATAGAGCGGCAAGGTGCAATATTAGACAGTAAAGTTCAAGTAGAATAACTCTCTATATTATACTTATACTTAAAATTAAGTGAAAAATTAATAAGCTATAAGTGTAACGACTAAGCTACCATCACGACTGATATCCAAATCAGGTCCGAACTAGTTCCCCTTAAGGTTAGCGGGAACTAATAGGATATAAAACCCACCTGTCTATAATAGCTTATTCCGTAGTTTTTCGATATCCTTTCGTACATGGCCTATATGTGTCTTTTTAAATTAGGGCTTATTTATTGTCCTACGCACTCCTATATGCCTCTGAGTGATACTAGTACCAATACGAATCCAAGTAGTCTTGCCTGCGCCGTTACAGCATCTGCACGTGTTCTGTCCTTTACTCTACTCTTCTACCTTCCATCTTATAGTATACACCCACTCGTCTAAGAACATCTATAGCTAAAGAGCCTTAAACCACACTATAATAACAACGGCACTTACAAGGCTAAGCGCGCTAAATCAGCAAGACGCATACTAGACCAAAGATTAGTAAATGGCTGTAGTTTAATTCGCTGTAATCGTAACTTATATAGAATTAAGGATCGTAGATACTATATCGAACACAAATAATTTAGGGCTATAGAGGTGCGCAAAGTAATCCCCGTACTATCTATATACCTACTCGAAGTGAAACTTATATAGAAATAAAGGAGCGTAGAAGTTAATTCGCGTTGGTCTTAGCTCGCAAATTCTGATGCCCTTGCTATTCAAGGTCTAGCAATGATGCCTACCCTTTTGGTACACATGGCCGATAACGCAGCTCAGTTACGATCTTCACGAATGGTTCTGAAGAGGTGGTGAAACAAATCCAAGCAATATGTCCGAGAACACCGTCCGGGGTGGATAGGTGTTGCATTTATAGCTTAGTGAACGTCGAGCGAGGTGTCAAGGTCGCTTTCACCAACGGAAACACGAAAGAATTCCGCTTCCTGGTCCACAATCCTTTGACGTATTCTGGAGGATTATTTGCAACCCAACTTGGCTTGGCTTTGTCGGAGATAGGAGATGTCAAGGCCGATGCACCAGCGTTTCAGACGTCCGAGCGAGGAGTGTTTACAGCGGGCGATTACATCTCACCTTACAAGGGAATCCCGCATACCATTATAACAGGGAACTTTCCTGCTATCGCGGCGGCAACACAGCTTCAGGCCGAGAAACATAGACATTTTTCGATGGTGTGATAGATTGAACACATCATAAACTATGTCAGGGACTGGAGGCGGGTATATAGAAATATAAGAGATCTTCTTTTTACCACGGTACCTTACGCGAGATGCAAGGCACTTATAATACGTGATCGAATGAGAAGCCTCTCATAGCACGTTGTCAATGGTGGCGCAGGCTCTAGTAAGAGTTCCTTGTCGTCTAGTATGACTACTCCAGATAACAATGTTGATAGGGAACTCTACCACAAGAACAACAGTTGGATAAGAAATGCGACCTACGGAAGCAAGAAGGTATCATCTTGTATGCTGAGTTCAGCCCGTTCGATTCAGAAAATCTCTCATTGCATGTCTTAAGTGACCAAATTCTGAACGAGATGAATTAGTGGAATATCAGGCCCGTATGAGAGGTGAGACTTCTCTATAGGCGCTCGCTACAAATCTCCTCGAAAGGCCGAATCAGGGCAGCGGTCTACGCTTTGTCAGCCGCTGCTAAAAGGAGATAAAAATAGTGCATTTTCGGTCAGCGCTGACACACAGTAAGATTGGCCCCATTCGCATGCGGTCCGTGGTTTGTCTTCGAAGTCCACGAAGCAAGTGTGGCTTCAGGCCCTCCACGCTAGCACAGGCGCAGCTCCTGATGGGATTGCGCTTGTCCGGTTTGGGATAACATTGTGATTCTCGATATGGGCTGAGCCAACGAAAGTGCAATCTTACTAGTGGAGTTAAGTAATGTCTGAGGACCAACCACGTTAAGCTGCCGATTATAGTAACAGACACCACAGTCTATCAAGGGCCAAAGCTTATGGAACATATATAGAATACAGCCAGTCGAGCTATTTGAATAGAAAGCCGTATGCTCGTTGAGAGCATAATATCGACTTCTATCTTCTTCGTTGCTCTATATCTCCTCCCCCAAAGTCTAATCTGCCTCTCAATCATACCCAAGTTACAATCCGCATATTCCACAACTCGACCACAATGTGTTCTAGATCATTTTCACCCGCAACGGAAATTCCTAGCCTCCAAGGCAAAGTGATCATCGTGACCGGAGGCAACAACGGTCTAGGCAAACAAGCCATCCTCGAATATGCACGCCACGGTCCTGCCGAAATATGGATGGCGTCCCGAAACCTCGACAAAGCAAATGAAGCGATCCGAGAAATCCACGCCCAAGTGGGCGGAAGCATTCTGCCCGTCATCAAGCCCCTTCAACTAGACCTCAACTCCCTAGACTCTGTCCAACAAGCAGCACGTCGATTCTTATCTGAGGCGCGACGTCTCGACATCCTGATGCTCAACGCTGGGATAATGGCATGCCCACCTGCTGTCACAAAAGACGGCTACGAAGTCCAGTTCGGTACAAACCATCTCGGCCACGCTCTATTCGCGAAGCTGCTCCTTCCAATTCTGAAAAGTACCGCAGCCAGTGACCCTTTTGCCGACGTCCGCGTCGTCGTTGTATCTTCTGGAGCTCATTCAGGTGCTCCCAAAGCAGGCGTCGTCTTTGAATCCCTCAAGACGCCTGCGGAGCAGATGGGCGGCATGGAGCGCTATGGCCAGAGTAAAACTGCCAGCATTCTCTGGACGCGCCACATGGCGCAAATGCACCGGGACATCAAGTGGGCGTCTATACACCCGGGTGTCGTGAACACGGGCTTGCAAGCAGGCGCCGATGGTGCGTCGCTGCCCGTTCGCGTGCTGTTGAAGGTCGGTAAGCCGCTTATGATGACGGTGGAGAAAGGCGCATGGAATCAGCTGTGGGCGTCAGTGTCATCGGAGGTGAAGAGCGGCGAGTACTACGAGCCTGTTGGTGTTGCAGGTAAAGCGACTGAACAAGCAAAGGACATGTGGTTGGCGGAGAAGGTGGGTCGTTGGACAGATGTTGAGCTTCAGCGATTCATGTCTTAGTTTCCATGAAATTCTAGCGTACTCCTTTATCGCTTAATTATCTTTATTACAACTATAGTTTACTATACTACCACCTTTATTCTAACTACATTTTAGTTGTTATACATAATAGAGGTTTATATATTTAATATATACCTATTCAGAGACTTTAATAGTAATACTGACTTGTTTGTTAAGGCTTAACAAGGCCTTATAAAGATCTACCTAAATCTTTTTGTAAAGTAATTCAAATATAAAGCTATTTCTTTTAGTATCTATTTCTAGTAGGTTAGAGTACAGCCTGTTATTCTTTTTTAAGATACTTAATCTAATACGCTATACAGCAAATAGAGAGAAAAAAAGTCAAGCGATTAATATAGCAGACCGCAATAGACCCCACACTTCACCCAAGCTGTAATCAGAACCTGTTGACCTACGAAGAAACACCTAGATATCAGCGAAAACCGAAAAACCGCATATATTCGAGCCGCCAGTGCAGCCCGCTCTACATCGAAGCGCGCTGATCTTCCTTCTTCGCGCACCGAACCCACTCCCACCATTACCCGTGGACCGAGCTACCCTGTTACTCGTCTGAGCGCATAAACACGCAAACCACTCTTCAACATAGCGCAAGCCAATCTCTCCGCACCGAACGAGCCCTCTACATCCTATGTCAACCCCACGTTCTTACTAGCGAACACATCGTGTCTCAATCTCTTCCTCATAGAGCTTGTACCTATAGCATATCGCATAACAGCTGATCTCACCGCACGAGAAGAGGAGTGGATCCATAGATCGTCAGCCACGAAGCCAAAACGATTGTCGAGCACAAGCAACGACGCGTCAAGCACGGCAGCAGGCACAGCAAGAGGAACATATGGCGGGCTGGTGGGGGGAGGAGGCCCTGCAACAGTGGACGAGGAGGAAGCAAGAGAAGCTGTTTTCCATCGACTAGAGAATTTGAGGTACAGGGTCGGATTGGGTGTGGTTGAACAGTACATCCGTCCCTCAAGTCATACTTGGGCCCTCATGATCACTGCTAACATTCGACACAGATTATCCTAAGACGCACCTCGACCAAAAACAACTCTCGACTGCATCAAATCTCTGTGCAAAGATCTCTAAACGCTCCTCTTTAGAAGGGAGATTAATAACCTCAAAACCAATCACCATGGCATCTACGTCCTCACGGACAATACCTTCAAGCCCCTCGGCCGCATACCGTTTGATACGAGGAAATACGATGCCACCATCCAAGCAGCACTAGTAGCACAAACAGGCAATGTAACGCTAGGACAGGACGCGAATAGCCAGGCCAGGGTTCAGCCATTCCTGTACTTCCCAGCTGGTCCGATAAGAGGATGTCTTGCAAGCTTAGTCATACAAGCGACAGTTACGGCAGAGAGTGCTGCGCTGGCCGGAGCTACGTTCCAGATCCGGACTGCGGGAGCGAAGAGCTAAGAGAATAGGGGAGGCGGTATACCATCTCTTTTTCAGCGGCATTATGCGGCGTTAACAGGTCCTATCAAGTTGATTTGCTTAAATGGCCATGGGATTACTTCCGGCGAAAAACCACCTAGGCCAAAAGGCGGCCTCTCACACTAATACGAGGTCACCCGCATAGCTATGCCATGTTACAACAACTACAGTAAAGAAGAAAAACTATCGACTCAGCACACCAATTGTAGTCAGCGCGCCCGTACTTTCTAACAGTCGTTACTTTACAATTAGGTCAACCCTAAATAAACGCTATGTTGTCTTGGCAACCTACATATATTCAGCCTGGCTTGCATAACATCCTTCAATATCCACGTACGGAAACTCCAATATAACGGATCTCCCGAATTTGAGCCTAATAACTGAAGCTGTTTTCCCTCAATTATAGGAACAAGAAGTCAAGGTAGCACATCGTAACTCAAAGCCGATTTCTTGACACATGTCTCAGCCTCACCTGCAGAGTGATAGCTTTCCCCCCACATGCATTTTTCCTGTTCGTTTTGATTTCACTGGTCTGAGCCCAAGCACTCGTCTCGGATCTCACGAAATACTCTAGTGGTCTAGTTAGCATCGCAGTATTGCACTACCAAGCTATTGCTTCCAATAAAGATAATCTTCCCCGTCGAAGACGAATGGTGGGCTTCGAAGCGGAGAATCTCGCGAGAAATCCCGCACATGAACCGAGGATTGAGAGGGATGCGAAGATCAAGGGATCCACCTTTACGAGGAAGAAGAATGTAGGTGAGAGGACTGCGTGGCCGGTTCGGGGTGTGGGAGATACCAGGTGTGACCATGACCCAGAGAAAACCAGGCAGGAGGAGTCTGCATGGTAAGAACGGGTAGTCAGATTCCATGTGCGTCGTCTAGAATTGGGCGTTCTTGTCCTGGGTAGAACGAATATACTATAAAACTACGTGGCGGTTTTCGAGAATCCATTCGAGGAAGTCAAGAGGCCATGCAATCCCGGTTCGGTTCTCGAGACAGAGGCATCTGGCTTGTAACAGCGGCAACGTTCCAGCGAGCTGTCAGTGAGATTGAGGGCATTGAAGCTTCTTTAAGGCACTACAGAAGCTGCAGTAATGGTGTGCTCGAGATAAGGACGAGAAATGAGGAGCTGAAGCTATTCACTATGGGATTAAACAACGAAGGCGAAATGCTGGATACTGTTGAGAAATATGTGTCTGGATTGGAAAGCCTAAATTTGACAGCCGACATGTGGGAAGATGATAGAACGGCCGGCGCGGATCAGTCGGGCTCAATTTATTAAAGTGTTCGAATATTCTGTTGGGGCTGTTTTCGTGGTGAGCTGCTGCCAGCAGCTTATTACCAGATACGAGAAAGTTGTTGCTCATAATATTAGCATGTCGAATTCCTCGAGGAGATCAGAGAAGACTTTGGTTCAGGATTTGTTAGTTCGGATGTCTTCGTGGCTGAATATCCTCTCTGGTCCACATTTGGTTTCGATCCGTTCGCTCCAGGTTTGAGTTACGTGGCTGGGCTGGGATGACCTGTACCGAAGTAACGGGATTTACACTACTATTCATTGACATGGCCTGGAGATTTAAGGTTCACGCTCTCCAAATCTACTTATCTGACTCCAATTGGAGCTGTCAGGTAGCTCCAACTTTCACCTCAGCGATTTGTCGTTCGCGGGGTAGATTGCTAACCGAGCAGGGGGTTTATCAACTGCTCGACGTGCCGCTTTCGGCAGCTGCATCCCCACCTCAAACATGACATCACCGCCTTAGCAACAAGCATCTCAGCGGCAGGCCTACTGCTAGCATGTTCCTTATCTCGACTTGACGGACAGTTATCGGAGACGTCGTCGCGTTGGAATCGTTTCACGCAGCCCAAGTACACCGCACAGCTAGGTAATCTAATTGGACAGACCATCCGTCGTGGTCTTGTACATGTGGAGGTTTCTCGATTCTGGCTTATTGCACGAGGCGCCCATGTCGTACCGTTGGATCGTCGCTGCAACTACTGTTTTGCAACCGGTTTTGCCTATCACACCAATAGAGGTTGAGCATCATGTTGTAATATCGCCACGGAAACGTCGTAGGCGGCAAACTGCTCCTCGAGTACAATGGCAGTATCTCTACAGACCCTGGGCGGTATTTGGAGTCGGCATGGCTGTGGGGAATTTGTTGATATAATTGCTTTCCTGGAAACAGAGAACCTGCGGAGTTTTCCAGCCTCTACATTCCAATTGTTGAAGCCTTCACAATGGCAGACACGATTAAGATACCTCTCCCAGTGGGAGCCGGCTATGGTACGTTCCCTAAGATTTCACTCAATGATGGCAGCTGAGCCTTCCAGGCGTCGTCGTTGGCATCGGCTTCTTCTTTGCCTTTCTTATGATGGGCATCTCCAGTCTCCAAAACAGATACACACGTTACTCAACACAATCATCCGAAGAGTTCAACACTGCGTCGCGCTCAGTCAAACCCGGTCTCATCGCTTCTGGTATCGTTTCGGCATGGACCTGGGCTGCCACTCTGCTCCAATCCTCTACCGTCGCATACCAATATGGTGTCGCAGGGCCGTTCTGGTACGCTGCTGGGGCTACAGTTCAGATTCTCATGTTCTCGATTCTGGCTTGCAAGGTCAAGCAGAATGCCCCAAGATGTCATACATACCTTGAAATTGTGAAAGCGAGATACGGAACGGTTGCACATCTAGTATTTATGGTCTTCGCGTTTGTGACGAACATTTTGGTGGGCAGCCAGCTCTTGTTGGGCGGAAGTGCGGTCGTTACTAGCTTGACGGGCATGCCAGTATATGCTGCTGTATTCTTGATTCCAGTTGGTGAGTAACACCTGAGAAGTCTATTCCAGAGATGTATTAATAGAGACAGGTGTCTGCGCCTACGTTATCCTCGGTGGTCTGCGAGCGACTTTTATCTGCGACTACAGCCACACCTTGATCCTCATGATCATCATCCTCTATTTCATGTTCAACGCATACGCTATCAGTCCTTTGATCGGCTCACCTAGCGAGATGTACGAGCTGCTCAAAAAAGCTGGGACTCAACGGCCTGTCAGTGGGAACCAGGACGGATCATACGTCACCTTGAAGTCGAACTTTGGTTTGATATTCGGTGTCATCCAACTATGCTCTGGATCCGGAACCGTTTTCCTCGATCAGGCCTACTGGCAGCGTGCGATCGCTTCCAAGCCCTCTACTGCCGTACGGGCGTATCTGCTAGGAGGGATTGCCTGGTTCGCTATCCCATTTGGCTTTTCGACAACGCTTGGTCTTGCGGCTGTGGCGCTCACCGATAACCCACGCTTTCCCACTTACCCAGAGGTACCTACCTCTGGCCAAATCTCGTCCGGTCTAGCAGCGGCCTTCGCTGCGGAGACATTGATGGGACAGGGAGGTGCTGTTGCACTGCTGGTGGTTCTATTCATGGCCGTCACGTCATGCGCGTCTGCAGAACTCATCGCCGTCTCTTCGTTGCTTACATTTGACGTTTACAAGGAATACGTTTCGCCCAAAGCTTCACCAAAACAGTTAGTCTTCGTTTCGCACATCATGATTTGCGTTTTCGGGTTGATCATGTCTGTGTTCGCCTGCATCTGGAATGCGGCATCGATCGATCTTGGATGGCTTTTCCTGTACGTTTTCCCCTATCCCATGGCTATTATATCAATCTTTAGTAACATGTTGAAGCGTTATGGGTCTGCTAATCGGCGGCGCTGTGTTTCCAACCGCCTTCGCCATAACATGGAGGAAACAAAGCAAAGTTGCCGCTATATCTGGTTGTCTCTCTGGTCTTGCCGCAGGTCTCACTGCATGGCTAGCGACCGCAAAGAGCTATTACGGCGAAATCACCGTAGAGACTACTGGTATGTCATATCCAACCCTCGCAGGCAATCTGGCAGCTATCATGACCGGACTCATTGTAACAACCACAATCACTTTGATCAAACCGGACAGTTTCGACTGGGAGACTACTCGTGCCATCAACGCCGTCGTTACCGATGGCATAGACAACGCTGCATTGCCTACAGGTGCTTCCACACCTGAACTCTCCGATACTGGCGAAAAGAAGATTGCAGCCGATGCCACCACACAACCCGAAGCAGCCGCAAAAGCAGAGCTTCCACATCATTTGGCTCCCCCACTGGAGGAGGAAGACGACCCCTCCACACTCCGTCGCGCTTTCAAGCTCGCCTGCATCTCCGCGTTTCTGTTAACCTTCATCTTGGACTTCCTTCTCCCCATGCCTATGTTCTTCTCGCATTACATCTTTTCTCAGGGCTTCTTCACTGCATGGGTGGTGGTAAGCTTCATTTGGGTATTTGCCAGTAGTGCTATTAGTTGTCTGTTGCCAATCTGGGAGACCCGAAGGAGTTTTGCGAAACTATTTAGGAAGATTGGTGAAGATTTGAGGAAGAAAAGTTGAACTGTGAACTACAGACTTCAATGAACGCTTTTCTATATTTAGTTTATGTGAATAGAAATAACATCCAGAGAAAAGGTCAAAAGTATGCATAGATTCGTGTCTTGACATGAGACTGAACGCAGATGTCGCATTTGTCATAAAAAGCTATAGATTGAATGACATAGCGTTCAACAAGACAATGACTATAATATCTTCCGCGCTACTGAGAAAATCTACTACGTAGCCCGTAGTTGAAACATTCTCATCGAAAAATTCGCAGGCAGATCAAAGCAAGGTAGGTCACCCTTACGCCCTTTCCAAACCATGGTACTACTAGCTTATGCGTCAATGAGACTCATCGCCATATGTTCTACCACCTATCTTTCAGAAACGCAGACACCTCTATTTTATGTTCACCAAGCAACACGAATATGTCCTCAGCGGATAGAATGGGTAAGTGCAAACCCTACGCTTCAGGTCAACCATCAAGTAGCCCTACCATAACCTAGCTCTTAGTAGGGCCAGCCCAGCCCCGACCCCAATTCTAATCCACGGTGGGTGCCCCTGGCCCAAATACCATCCTAAGTGGGCCACGAACCCGTTTAGGCCACTAACTCGTAAGGTACGTTATATCGCTACTTGAATGTTACAAGTAACAAAAAGAATTCTCTCCTTAACAAGAGACGACGAGTTTGAGAGCCAACCACGTCCACTTTAGAAAGTAATGGCTATTACAGGGCTTGGAGTCATGTGATGTGCCATCCCCCCAAGGCTGGCCATCCGGGATGGCAGTGCATAAAGGGATAGCAACGCCATCCCAAACCTCCCGTCAAGATATTAGAGAGGGGATAGCCAGACCTTAAGGTAATAGGTATAAGAATAGGTTAGATTTCGTTGTTACACTTATCAGCCCTTAGCTTATCTAGATTGATACCTAGTAATTATATCTTAGTATTGGTACTTTAGTTATATCTATAACTAAAGCTCTATTCCGCGAGTGACCCACGTTTTAGCTATAGTCACACAACGCGTTGTTGGCTCAACATCTATTGCACGATGTTCGCCATTGCACAATATCAAAGCTAGAAGTATGATCGACTGCATCCGGAATGAGACCGCTTACCTTTGTCTTGTTCACCTAGCATTAGTTGCATGCTTGCTTCACTCGCTGCTTGGTCCTTTGCATTGCGACTAGGGTCTTTGATTGGTGCATAGCCTCTAATTTACAGGATATTCCGCAGGATGTAGTAGACGCCCACTGAACGGATCTTTGCCCTTAATACCTGCATATTGGCGCTGTGCCATAACTATTCGGCCAAGGGTCTTGTAAGGGCCCGGGTTGCGTGCTTCCTCAAGTGAACGCTACCGTGCCATAGTTGGTGTGAAGGCTGGCTGTCCCCAACAAGATGCTACGGCCGAATGTCGGCTTAATCAGTGTGACAGTGAATCATTCTCGGGGAGCGGGGAAACGACAATCTTTGTCAGGAAAATGAAGAGGAAAGCGATGTGGTAAGCGTCACCTTGTTCCACCTGCCAGTGACTTATACAGTAGTCGATGACAATAGGAAATTTACTTCTAGAGATATCATTGCAACAGGCAACTGTCCGTTCATGTCAAAGAGCCTGCCGAAGGGAGCATCAACCATGACGGGCCATGTTGGTGTGGGACTTGGGTTGTTGGAGATAGGCTCTAGTGCTTTGTTAGTTATGGCAGGAAAGGACAAGGTTCGCGATCGAATCAAGCTTACGTCTTTGATATGTCAAAGCTATCTCTTCATCTATCTCGCGCTGCGGTCTGGGCCGCAGCCAACTTATTCGATAAACAATCCAAAATCCGCCAGGGACGCACATGATGAGAAGGGTGACTATCGCAATGGTAGCTTCGATTGAGATTGCCATGTTTTTGTTTCTTGGAGTTCGCTTCTATCAATTTCGTTTGCTCGTTGTTGGCGTTGGTATCTCGTGGACTGGTTTGTTGATCGTTGTTATAAATGTTTGTCTAATGCATCCTCCACAAGGACCTATGCGATTATATATCACACGGTGGGCAACACTGCCACAAAAGATCATAATCTAGTCATTGCTACTAAACAAATACAGGTACATCACTACGAAAAAGCACGTAGGGCTGATGTATGACTTGTCTCTGAAACATGGCTCGTACAGCATTTGGAGGCATCCTGGTGGTCATTAATTGGACATCTGAAGGCTCGGAGAGAACAAAGGAACATCTGCGAATGGTCGATTGCGACATGAAATATGAAAAGACGGGCGACATTGAAGAAGACGGTCTGATTGGGTTCTTTCGCGTCCTGTACGCCTGCCGCCATCCCAGCTTCGAACGTGCGAAGGCAGTATTGCACAGCTGTACGTTCCCGTTCAAGAGAGTTGTAGCCAACAGGAGCTGCTTCATATTCGACTCGGCGTGAGTGATAGCGATATTGTTCGTCCCGTCCAATAGGAACTGGTTCTTGTTTGGTCGGGGAGGAGACGAATGTGAGGCTGCGAAGCCGTAAGATGTCATGCACGTATCATCCCAGCTCTCGCTTGCCCAGCCAATTGTAGAGCATTTGGAAGTTGACCGAGTCCATGGTGATGAGGCGGATAGACATTAGGTGAGTGCGTCAGAACGCGATGCGAGGGACTGATGACCACATATAGAGACTCTCACCGACTACACTTTGCGCGATCATCGATTGGTCCTGTAGGCGAGCAAAGATTCCAATATCACTATCGGATAATCATGATTAGATACAGACAGGCTTCGCGCCATCTGGTATAGCTGACGATTGTGTGATGACGCCATAAGCACTTGCTACTGGGTATCACCAGGACATGGACGAATCAGGGGAACGCCTTACGAGACCCGGTGAAGACGCGGGGCTTCAGCGCCCCGATATCACGCCAACGGCTTGGCTGCATGCGCTTCGTCGCAAATGGGGGCAGGTGCTCGGTCTACACTGACCCCATACTACGGCCTTGTCCAACCAACCAACTGACCATAGATGCGAGACCACGAGGACGATTTATGAGTTTCGTTCGATGGCAGGCTGATTGCTGATGGGCTTGTGTCAACAGCGTCCGAACATGGAAAAGCAAGTTGGCATGGACAATCAACACGAGCCACTGATTGGCTGTGGCGCGCGGGTGAGACCGCACATTTGGAACCGGTGAAACCCCTAAGGAGACATTCTTGTTGGTCGCCTGCCGTCCTTTGGAGAGACGAACGGATGCTCATGCCTTTGTGTGCTGCCTGCTGAGTGAAAGTATCCCATCATGATTCACGATCAGCAGCGAGGGGTGAAAAATGATATCGACTAAACCCATGCACTACAGGTGTTTCCTATCGTTTGCATTTCCCAATATTCAGTCACAGCTTGCCGTTCATGCTAGACTTCTATAAGAAGGACGACATGCGCCCTTGGCGACAATGCACTACCGCAGCAGTCTTGATACTTACAATCGGTGTACTCTGGTACGGTTTGGATCCGCGTACTAATCATCCATTCTGGCGTCCAGGCAGGATGCAACCGTGGCAAGAGACAGCTCTAGCTAAGAAGCAAGGCGAGTTGGATAAGATACCAAAAGAATGGCGACTGTCCAAGGACACGCTTGTGGAAGCAAAAACGCGCAAAGTCATCGCCGGATCCTTTATTGAAAGTCTGCTAGATGAGAAAACACTCAGCATCACTCGCATGGATCCTACGGAGATCGTCGAGAGTACAGGTAATGGGTCAATGCCTGCATACGATGTCGTTGAAGCGTTCTGCAAGAGAGCCGCCTATGGACATCAAATGGTTTGTGCGACCTCGGTACTACCGGCCGTTCTAACAACAAATAGAGTCTCAACCTCCTCGAAGTGGGCTTTAGCGTAGCTCTTGAACGAGCTCGAGAGCTCGATGCTTATTACAAGCAACATGGCAAACCTGTTGGTCCTTTGCATGGTCTACCCATCACCCTCAAAGACCACTTTCATGTCAAGGGAATGGAAACATGTTTTGCTTACGTTGGGTGGGTGGGCACCTTCGAGGGTCAGATAGGTACTGGCAAAGAGCGCGTATTCCGAAGCGAGCTAATCGAGGAGCTGGTCAGCTTAGGCGCTGTGGTCATTGGCAAGGTGAGTAAGCTGCGTATGATTAATATCTCAAGTTTTGACCTAATGACATAACAAGTCATCGCTCGTGACATAGTAGTCGCTACCATTATCGGGATAGCTTCATAGAGAGCGTCCTATGCTTGCAGTAGCTACATACTCGTGCTCCTCTCACTTCAGATTGCCAAGTCTGCGATGTTTCAAGGTTAAATTCAAAAAGCAACGACGAGATAGAGTTCGCGAGGCATCCGTTCACGAGGACATGTAGTCTATACAGTCACGTTCCCGAAATGTCCATTTAGCTACAAGCAACGTTGTCAGAGTATAATAATTTCTATAAAGATGAGGTAAATCTTCGGGACATCGATATGGGTGTTGTTGTACTATTATTTACATAGTATCCCTTACTAAGTATGCAATATAGACCTTATTTCCGTGTTTCTATAGTGGTAGTGACACAACCCCACTAAATCCAGACGCTACTTCTTCTTCTACTACTTCAATCTAATAATATTACAAAATCTGCGCATAGAACTAAAATCTATAACAGGGAGAAGTATAAATAACAGAGTAAGATCTAGACGAATCCTTGGTTTATCCTAAAGATCCAATCAGGGCTTTGTATTATCGTACTAATTTCTCTGGATAAAATAGCTCTAGTATAATTTCATATAAGTGATAGCTAGGTATTAAAGCCATTAGATACAAATAAAGAATAGATGTTAACTCATAGATAAGTAGAGATTACAGTCAAGTAGAAATCTTATAGGTATTATATGTAATAAGGGGTGTAGCTTATTATAGCAGTCTGACGTTTAGAAGCTTTAAGTAGACATAGCTAGGTAATAGGATTATATTTAATAAATAGCTAAGCACTAGGCTACACAGCAATTAACATATAAACAAGATGCGAGATAGTTACCTAAGTAACAATTGGACTAGGTATATAGAGAAGTAGGTAGGGGTACGACGTTGTAGGCGAGGAGAAGAAACGAAGGGTGTTTAGGCAGTTACAATCATACTATAACGGGAATGTAAAGTGTAAAGTAGATTAACACTAGAGTGACCGATACAAGATGGGCGACAGTGGGACCAAAGATAGTATAATATTTCTAACCGCACTTCTGGGTTTGTGGAAAATAGTCTTAAAAATAAGCAGTTCATTGTCGCCGTACGATACTAGTGTTAGCATGAATTCTAAGAAACTAAAATTGTCGACTCTTTGCGCCATGAGGGGATTCGTGTGCCCTAGGTAGGGAAGTTAGAAGTTAGTTTTAGCAGAGCCTTACGATCCTCAGATGCAGTTCGCAGAGATAATATATTGATTTATTTATCGCACCGACGCTTGCGATGTAAATATTTTAAACGCTCTAATATATACTCTAATCCCACTCTAAAGTTTAGCTCAGCCGCACGAGGTGTATAAGCAACCAATGCCCCCAAGATAATTGGCGCAAATAATGTTATTACCTGTGCAATGCTCGGCCACCCTTCCATGGTAGCCAGTGCATTCTAGCTAGTGCTGCTTGTTAGTTCAGGTGTGATATTAGGGTCATTTCTACATACTACAAATTTTCCGTCAGAGGAGCATGCCTACATATAGGTATTAGTTAAGCTGCGATCTTCATGTAGTCCATATCTGCATTTACATTATAAACACCAGCACTTTTTGAACATTGTGCGACGGCTGAGCTGATAGAATACGCTGCTACTAGCAGGTGTAAGTGAACGAATTGCATTTCGTAGTATGGTGCAGTAGTATTTATAACTGAGACAAAGGCGGAGAAATAGCGGATGCTTTAGCGAGAAGAACGGTGGATAAGTCTGAGAGCGAACGAAGAGAAAGCTGGCAAAGTGCAGATCTAAAGGAATATACTTATACGACTCCCTATCCGTACTCAGAGTAGATTGACGTCTTTGCGCTGAATTTACCAGTGTCTATCCCTGCGCGACATAAGATTCTAAATGTTGGAACTAACCAATTAGATCGCAAGGATCATGGACCGCTCTACGATCCCTACGATCCAATTGGTTATTTCCAACATATAGAGTTTTATATCTCGCAGGGACGGACGTTAGGCTCAGAATAATCATATGATCACATTTAGCGTCATTGTGATTATATTTTAATATGCTATTTTACCTCTAAAGCTACATAGAGGAATTTGGGGGGTTCAACCAAGGAGTCGAAGATGGGGTTATCTAGATACAGGTGAGGCCCTTAGCCGAGAGTAATTTTAATAAGTAGCTCTCTTAGGTTCACTCTTAATGAATCTCACTAGTATACTTACATGGATATGTTTCGTTAGCTCGATTACTAGCTGTACCGTATTCTCAAAGAAGTATAAGAACACGCTTATCATTATTTCCTTTCCTAGAAAGTTCGCATTGAATAGATTTAATTAGAAGTGAGTTTAGATCTAAAGGTACCCTAGTAAGCTCTGTACTTTTGCCTTTGCTTCTCCGCTTACTCTTACTACATGGCTCTTACTATAATCTTAGTAATCCTTATAGTACCCTGTATAGTAATTAAACCCGTCAACGTTACCCTAGTGAGGATTGTTTTATTCTAGATCTGACTGGCTAAAAATTCGAGCTAGTGAAACATACCCATATATACTAGTACTCTCAAATTTTGGCGAGTCATTCCCTGAGTCGTATAAGTAGTTTGCTAAGCAAATCTCTCATTTTAGTAAAACTGTAAAAAGTGGAGAGAGGAGAAGGATTTAGAACTTCGACATCTGCTGACGGCAGATTGCTCACAGTAAGTGACGGCGCTTCACCACTGCGCCATGTCCCCTCGCATTCGGCGTTATGTGGCCCGGAAGTTTGCGTTCGGTTCTAATACGAAAGTATTGGCGGTGTTAAGTACGGCAGCAACGGGCGTAGAGAACAGAAGCTTATGTCAGGTATGGCCTAGCAAATGAGTAAAAGGTTTCCAGCATGGGTTGGGGTAGGGTTGGGTTAGCCTTCAATGCGACTTGCAAGTGCTCACAGCAGCGTTCGCGTACACTCGTAGCCCGGCGATTGGCAGGGCGTGCACGCTCGTCTTGAGTTACACTGCAGCTGCAGCTGCTATGCATGAGTGTGAGGCGGAGGCGGAGGCGGAGGCGGAGGGTGCGGCTGAGATTGATGCTGCCTACAGCCTCTTAGACCCTTTTCAGGCACTGTGCATACGCCCCCATAGACGTGGTAATCTCCTTAGGTACCAAGATGACTAAATTCGTGGGTAATTGAGTATAGAGATCCATATCGTCCGTAGGGTACATGTAGGCCTAATGCCCAATACCCATGGACTTGCGATTTAGTAAAGCCAAATGAGGGTAAAGATGCAAGTGGAAATTAGTGAGAAGTGACTAGAACCAAATTACGCAATTGGATCGCATGTGTCTTGTTATTATTATTATAATATTTAGGATGCTCTACACTCGTGCAGGGTTGCTAAGCAGCGAACAGTGAAAGGCGCTCTATCTAGTTAGTGCATGCAACAGTTTGCTTCATGTAATGATTTTTACTCGTAAACCTTAATTCTTCTATTGAAACGTATTAGATCAATTAACCTATTGCATTCTCTGATTAGCTGCACTATAGATACGTAGCCAATATTGCGAAAGAGCGTTGGATACGGTAGTTTGACTCTTGTCTCTGTGATAAAAATTGTAGACTTCATGCTTCAGCTATATGGGTCTGTGTTGCTACACAGCCTGGTTGGCGCTTGTCGACGGGTTTATAGACAGCTAAGTCGCGCTAAAATTGACATTCATTCATCTAAGCCAAAATCCAAGACCTTGCAGTAAAAGAGGCGGCTTATTCTCATTGAGTTCGAATGCATGGATGGACTCCTTCACTAAAAATAATGTACCCAAAGCTACAAGTATCTATCCGCTCAATCCCAACATTATATGTGATCACTTTAACTATGATCAACTATAGGCTTCTCCTACTAGGCTGTAAAAAAACTGTTCTTGGATGTGAATTAAGATGCAGCGACTAATTAGGTTTGAATAGTGAATTACAGTATCAAGAAATAAGCGCTCTATGTTGAATCGCATAGTACCGCTGGGTGATCGGCACGGCTCCTTGGGGGCGAAAATGCATGTCAGCCTTGGCTTGCCTCAGCCTCGTGCCTCAGCCTTCTCTTCGCCACCAAGTTCAAGATTGATAAAAAAGCTCATTATCACGCTCGATTGAACCATGCATTGTCCATCTCTTTATGCCTTGTCAACGCCAAACTTGTGTTTAATAAGCACTACTCAATCTCTAGTCCGAAGCCATACCCATGCAATCCAGGTTCGGACCTGTACGGGCCGCCTGGCATGATCTGAAGCACGATCTCAAATCCACACAATGGTTGCGCGGCTTCGGTTGGACCCTCGGCGTCTTCTGGCTCTTTGGTCTCATCGTCAGCGCAATCATGGTTGGCATGATGTCTGCGTTTACCACGACTGATTCTGCGTGCTTGCCGGACAGCAGTTTTAGCCTGCGGCCGGACACGTTCAGCATGTGGTCTTCCACAGGCTTCTTCCAGATTACCCTTGGGGGCGGGAATCTAAGTTTTGCGCAGGCAAAGCTCGTGGATATCGTATGGGATATTGTACGCTAATCGGCCCTTTAGATGTAGTACCACCATAAATTGTTGTGCTAACAACAACAATAACAGGGTATCGGACGCGGCGGCCAGGTGATTCTGGCATTTATATCCTGGCGCGAATTCGCACGGTATTTGACAATTTGTATGGCGAGTGAGCCAGTCACATATCAGGTCTTCCGTGCCATCTTTATCGAGAACGACGCCTCTGTTCTCTCAACATGCCGCACAATTAAGAGCTTCATAACGCAGCGTCGACTTAGGTCAAAAGTCGCTATGGCATTCATGACCGCGACCATGCTTTTCATCCTCGCATTTCCAACGCTGATGAGCGCTATGAGCGGCTATGATTCTAATGTTTCGTCGAGAGTGCCGGACCTGAGCGATAATCTTGTTCCATTTGGTAATTTCTCGCGGGTACTTTATTTTATCCGAGATGGCTCGAGAATAAACGAATCGGATAACCTGTGGGTCTTGGATAAGACTCTAGGGAAAGGAAGAGATCCTGTAATCGGTAATGGAAGAATCCAGCAGAGTGACCTAGCTTACAGAGTCTCTCTATGTAAGACAACAAACCCCCAGCCCCTATAGGTCTGCTAATTCTCAACAGACGTCCATGTATATGGCCTTGGTGGTGGACGGAATGAGCCATCGGACTTCCCTGGCCCGTCATCCCCTTTCTCTTATTCGGATTCGTATTGGGGCGGGACAAACAGCACACTGAATCCACCAACACTCAATATCACTGCTTACACCCTTGAAGACACCAGATTGAAGTCTTATAACATCTCCGGTGCACAGGGTATGAGTTGGGTCAGAGATGGCAATCTCTTCAACCGCACATATATTGAAAACAAAGGGCAGTGTCAAAACACAGGCGTAAGTGCGCCCCTTCTTTCTGTCTTCCCTCCTTGTTCTATTTTTGATCTTCAACTAAAATCCTATTCCAGACTTATAGGTGGGGCTTCTCCTTCCTCCAGCTGTTCCTCTGCATCATTCTCCTCCTCGCGTGGACAATCGGAATCTATATAATGTGGCTGTATACGCACTATACCCTCCTCTTGCACTCGCGCCTCTCAGAAGAAGTCTCCGGCGTGCACCGCGCCGTGCTCGAGCTAGCGGCTGCCATGCAATCCGATCTTGATATCGCAGACCTTGATGTCTCTTTGCTTCGTGAGAAACAGCTTGACGAACGGATCAAGAAGGAGATCAGCGGTGGGAGGGTTAGTTATGCGTATGCAGAAGAGAAGAAGGGGATGTATAGTATTCGCAGGGGAATGAGAGAATGGTGGAGAAAGGATAAGTGGTGGTTTGGGGCAATGTTTTGCATGTCGGTGCTTTGCTCGACGTGTTGGATGGCGTGGAATTGGTGGTTTTGGATCTGGCTGTGGTCTATTTGGCTCGGGCTTTTTTGGGCATTTTGTATTGGGACTACAACGGGTAGTCGATTGCTCGTTCTTATTTTTTGGGCCGTATTTGGGGCGTTTGCTGTTGCGATTTCTGCAATGATAATTGCGAGGCAGGACAACGTTTACTACGGATGAAGCCGAGCACATGCTAGAATATTATAGCTTTCATTTCTATGTCATGACCATGCGCTCAACCTTTCCTATAATATGTTTTTCCTGCATGGCTGTGCCGTTTTCTCGGCCTCTAACAAGATCAATAGTTCCCGCCCATGGTATGAGTATCTTTTCACAACATCGCAGGCGTTTGTGGCCCCACTATCTCAGGACATGAATTTCTCATGAAGGAGTTCCTCCGCCGCCACAATAGTATCATCGGCTCTCCAAGCATCATAGGGGAATTCTTAGGCCAAAAGAAATGCGTGATATCAAGGTTATGTCACAACACGACATCGATGCTAGGAAACAGTGTATTGCAGCCTGTCCAAGAGAAAGTACTTGCTGCAAGGGTGAGAATGCTACCAGGCTGGCACGCTAACCCATACAATCATTCCTGTGTTGTCAAGTCGGTTCGGTGCTTTAAAAGCGACCTTACATGGCGATAGCTTGTCTAGGATGCATAGCGTGGCTTAGTGTATTAGCCTCTCCATAAGTGTGGGAGTTAATGCACATAGTTCGTCGAAACTACTCCACATTCGGCCACAATAGCGACATCTCAACCAACCGGCGTCTCTCCCAAAGAGCAGTATACAGTAGGCTGAATCTTTGCGCTCCTTAGTTTACAAGTTCCTTTCAATTACTTTCAAAATTCTTAGAGACATCAATCAGAGCAATCATGGACCTAATCAACATCGAATTAATCAAGAGAACGATGTTGCAAATGACATCCCTTAGCCAAACGGATCAAAGGTGCTCGGATCGTAGTCCCTCCCCTCTTCGCGCATCTCCACCTCGACTTTACTCTTCCATATCCCATCCGAAGCTCTCTTCTCCCATTTCCGGAACACGGTACAGTACCATATCTTTGTGCTACCACCTGGCGAAACGAAGGTCACTTCGATTTGCTCAAGTGCGCTGTTATGACCAAAGTCGTGCCACAAGCGCAGCATCAGGTCACGGGCAGCCTTTTGCTTGATCTGAGGCGAGCCCCAAGCATCTGGGTCTGGGTATGAGATTAGCTGGTACGAGTTGTATTCCAGATACACTTTGAGGTAAAGCTGCCTGAGATGGCGAAGCGAAGTCAGTGCCGAGTGAATAGATCGACGAGCCGCGGAGCCCAGCGCTATCCCTGGTGAGATACCATGCTTCTGTTGGCTAAAGCTAGAGAAGAGCTTCTTCAGACGTGCGATGGCCCATCTCTTCTGCGTAGCCTTCTCGTCCGGCCACACGCTCAAGCTCTCATTTCCTTGCTTTTTCTCGACCTTCATTGGTAAGCGCAGTATCTTTATCGTTTGAGCTGTCTCAGCTAAAGCGTAAAAATGCTCGGGTTCCCATGCTACACTCTTTGCATACTCTGCTTGCAAACTCCACAGACTTCGTCCATGCTTTGCTAAAAGTGTAGGTCGCACCTTTTGCATAGCCTCGTCATCCAAGCTATGCATCTTCACATTTCTCAGCGCATCGATTGAATCTATAAAACGCTCAAGAACTTTTGTGTTATTGCTTGAGTTCCAAAGGCCGCTGGCAGCCCCATAGTCGTTCCAGAAGCCGAATTTGAGTGTCTTTAGCTGTGCAACACGTCCTGTCAATGCTTGAAGAAGAGCTGTTGGGGTGCCAGAACCAAAATCCAGGGTATTTAGATGACCCCAATCCATGCAACGTGACCAAATCTCACAGTGCTCTACCGTTGGAAAGTAATTTTGAAGCATTGGGTCTAAGGTCAACTCCTCGAGCGCCGGAAATGTATCATCGCCTCGAAACGGAAGGTTGAGTGGACTTTCTTGGTAGTCATCGTTCTGTGCCCCGGAGGCGACACTGACTCGCAAACATAGTTTCTTCAGGTTACGGGCTTGGAGTAGGCACCGTTTCAACTCGCACATTTCTGAAAAACAAACGGCCTGTGGTTGGATTGCAAGAGCAGTAAATTCAAGGTGCTCCAGATGTGTGGATGAAAGAATAGCTTTATCCATTGAATAACCTTCACGATCATTGTTGATGTATGTAAGTCGCAGGTTTGGGCGATCTGACAAGGCGGATTGCAACGAAAGAGGGAAAGGATATGGAGTTTCCCATCTATTGTGTGTCAGCCTCTATAACCCCAATACGATTCTGCAGAATTTACATTATTTTCTTTAACTGCACCAAATGACTCCAGCAGTTTACTAGTAGTCTTACGAGCTCTTCGTAAATCGTAGGATTATGCCGGGGAGGTTTGACTCGAACGCATTGCACCTTTTCGCCAACCGCCTCATTCGGCATTCTAATTCTTTGCAAAAATGCTCTTTCAAAATCGTGCGCGCCTCTAAGGGTAATCTTACGGAAAAGGAACTCCTCGGAAACACTTCTGCTCGCGCGACATACTGCTCGAAGAGCATAAAAAGCCGCATGATCGTCATAAAAGAGTTGCGCAAAGATTTTGGAAAGGATGCTCTGCGTTAGGGCAATAGATCGAGCAGGCATTGACGGCAACTTGCGCGTGTCTCGCGCGGGTGAAGGGAAACGTAATTGGGGCTGAAAGCAGCCTGTCTTTACTCGGGACGGGAGACTTTATATATTTACAAAAGCAACCGAGGCGGATATTACCCCGGTTCTACATGCCACATATTCGGATAAAATAAATTACAACACCCAGTGTCAAACAACTGTGCCGCCTGAAGCCAAGGTTTGCTGTCACATCTAAGTTGACCCATCGCTGCAGTATCGAGGAATGACAGCATACTGGTGATTCGCGTTAGTGAGCATTAATGGAGCGATGCATCTGACTTACTTCGTCGTTCCAGAGAGTATAATGTTTGCTCCACCTGGTTTTGAAAACCGTCGGCGCTTCGATGTTTCCAAAAAGCTCCGCACCGGCATCCATACCGTAGCAGTATATAAAGGGTTGATTGCTACCAACCTTCGTGTCTGCGTACAGCTGCGCATACGAATCAATGCCCAGATCAAGCTGCAAATACGTTAGACGCTTCCACTATCGCCACACACACCTACTTCTACTTACTGCAGCATTAGATATTGCAGAGCTATCGAACACTATGCCAAATGTAACTTTTGGGATACTGATATGCGTCAACACAGTTAGTTAATGACAGAAAACGACTTCTTACATATGTGCAGTGACCTTGCCCGAGGCGTCCAAATCCCAGGTAAACTTGTCATGGACGCCAGATCCAGAGACATCTTTCTTTGGAGTCTCCTCGTCAGGCTTGTCGTCTTCACCATCGGCGATGGGATATCGCATCGAGTAGTCCCAACCTGGAAACTTCATTTCGTACGTTGCATTTCTAAAACAATTAGCCGAATTCTTTTTGATAAAGAAGTAAGATCATCTACATCTTCAATTGCGCTTCTCCGGCGAGTGAGCCAATGATTCGGAAATCAGGGCCAATGGTGACGAAGCCGGGAACGCGGAAGGTCGCTCCAAAGTTGTGGGCTCCAAAAAGCTCAACATTACCAGTATGGAAAGAAACCTTGCCAAAGGCTTCGAATTTGAGTTGAGCTGTCACCTGGCCTTCTGTGCGGAACCATGCGGAAGACTCTTCGAAACTTTCAAGGTTTCCAAGCTTGCCCTGGTACTTTATGAGATGGAATTGCTACAGATTTTGCAATGCGATTACTCACAATCACTGTGACTCCAGCTGCCGTTTGAACATCAAGATCCATCTCAACCCAGCTCTTGAAGTACAGGTCGTCAGCCCACTCTGCACAGTCTTTCAGGGTCTCTTCGAAGATTTTGATGTTAAATTGTTCCTGAAAGGTTAGCTCCAGATCAAGTTTCCATGGAATCATAAACTTACCTTCACCCGGTGTCTGACACCTTGATACTTAATGTCAACATCTCTTTGCTTGTCCCACCATTCTTTTACATTGCCTGACCACCATCTCTTGTGCAGCTCGGTGTAATGCAGCTCACGCTTCTCCTTGCGCCAAGTATGTTCTAGCCAAGCCTTCTTGTTGCCACCAAATATTGTTTCTATTTCTAGATCCCGTTTGCGCTTTTGATTTCCAGGAGGTGCTTCAATAATACTGTCCCAGTAGCCAGGATTATCACTGTAGTCAATTCTTACCAGAACGTTGGACTGGCCAGCACGCTTTTCGAACGTAGTGAAGTCGTAGTCAAAAGTAAAGTCATATACGAGGGCATCAGCAAGGCCTCGCTTCTCCAGCTTATGTCGAATGTGAGTATGGGTGGTCGACAACTCCATTTTCCTCGCAACAGCATATTTGCCAGGACCGCAGTCGCTGGGCATCTCAACAACAGTATGCTCCAAGCCGCCTTTAAAAATGATGTCGCAATTACTGTTTGCGGATGAGTCTGTACATACCGCCTTCACGGTTTGGCGATTTTCGCTAATAGTGTTGTCACAGTCGAACAGTTCCCAATGTGAGCCATCGCGTTTGTTTACTGTCGTGATTTCTTCTTCGGGGCCCGACATAATGTAGAAGCCAAAGGCATGATCATCGGGGTCGTTGCTATTTCCGGGTGTGATTTGACCACCCATTGTCTGGTCAATTTTGATGTAAAGCTTCTCGGTATTTGAGTCGGGTCCAGGTGTAGGAAACAGATTTCTGTGGTTTGTTAAAAAGGTACACTTACGATGGGTTTCAGATATTGAGAGACTTACTTTAACGGCACGGGCAAATTTATCGTTTCCTAGCAGAGTCAACAAACCAGCAAATAGCGCGAAAAGCAGGAGAGATTACCTTGCCCATCCCTTTGGTGTTGCAACAAAAAGCAAGGTCCGCATTATACCACGACCAGATACCCTGCTGCTGGGGTATCGTATATTTGCACTCGTGTGTACTGTCTCCTTTGCCATCCCCATTCGGCCCGCCGTATTGATCTTGGTCAATTTTGCTAGTGGTTGAGCTGCAAAATTCCGAGTTTGAACAAATCGGGAAGTCACCGCCCTCATTCCAGTAGCACGAAGATGTGTCGATGCCTTTATCGCAGCAAAAAGAGACGCCTTTATTACCCTGGCACGTTCCACGTTTGGTTGTGACGAAGTTACGATCTGCAAAGTCCCTTAGTTTGATCCCCAAGATAGATCTGCCATCAGACTCACCTCCACAGACGCCTTTGAGGGTATTTGAGTTTGCCGGTCTCCCGTTCTTCAAATCGAGACACTCGCTCGTCCAGCCACACACATCATTGATACCACCAGTCGAACTTTCACAGCAGTACTGTGCAAAACCGAACCAGCAAGACAGGTGCTCATCGTCGATATATGGTTCTGTACTCGATACAACAGGTATCTCACCATCACGGCAAGTACCTGAGCACCAAAATCCCTCGACACCTTGTTGTCCGCCAGACCATCTGCATTTCTTCGGATCAGGAGTCGACTTCAGCGGGCAGCACAAAGTTTGCCTCTGAGCTTTACCATCGCGCATGCCGCAATATTGCTGAGCACCAGCTGACTGATAGCCGGCACCACACGACGTGGTACCACAGGAAGACCATTTGCATTCCGTGCCTGTCGCAGACGCAAAATTGCCTTGGTCAATAGCGCTCGGATTATATCCATTCTGATCGGCAAATATGTCTAGTTTTCCACCCAGAAGGGCTTTTAATGCCGTATGATCTGTGTCATCTAGATCTATAGACCAGACGAATAGGCCAAGCAGCCTAGTACTAAATCAGTGATAAACAGCTTCAAATTGACGGGCTTACTCACCCTTGCTCTTTTGCGAAATCGACTTTGTCTTGGAGTGTTTCTTCGTCGTCATAAGACACCCACTGGTTGTTCGAGCCCCACGCCAAATACTTCACGCCAGCTTCCTTGTCGTGAATCTTTTCAAGGTTGAATCGCTTTATGTATGACTCAATCTCAGCGAAGGAAAGTATACCACCTTCACCAGTGCATTGCCCAGCCACACCGGGTGCCGAATGCGGGCAGCCAGGCTTATTGCAGTTCGCATCCTCAAGCGTGTACGACCGACCATAAAATCCTATACCCAGATTGATCCGATCTGCAGGAACGCCCATCCGCCAAAACAAATCAAGAGATTCTTTGATTTCTGTTTTGTTGGTATGTGCATAGACGTATGGCCCAATGTAAGTGCCGGGCGCATCCCAGCTGCCATGTCTGGTTTGGCTGTTAGGCCGATGCTCCTCGCAAAGTGAGACATTGTACTCACAGATCATAAGACATCAGATTGATCCAGGAAACATATTTCCAAAGCAGATCAATCTTAAACCATCGCAAATACCAATAGGAAGATGGTGCGGTGAACGAGATGCCAAAATCTGATCCTGCCTCCGCGAATACCGTGTTAAGTGTTTCAAGAAGTAAAACAAAATTGTCTGGATCATCCGGCTTACCACCACGATCTGAGAGTCATATCGGTTAAGCTGAATTGATGAGACAATCACATGTAACATACCTGGTGCACCCGGGTACTCCCAATCCTTTTGAAATGTTAGAAAATTCATCTTGTAAACATCGCCAAGGCTAACTTACCAAATCGACACCGTCAAAGCCCCATGTCTTCATGAATTTATGTAAGTTTGCAGCAAATTTGTACCTATTTGCGTTCGTCCGCGAGAGATCTCCCCAGACAGCCTGTGTGTCCGTGTCATTGTCACTATAGGTCCAACCACCCAACGATATCCAGATTTTAAGGCCTGGCGCCTTTTGCTTCAGATTTGTAATTTGTGAAAAGACTTTGTCCGATGTTCGGGGCATAGGTACAATCTCGAATGTTCCAGGTTCAATATATGCGAAGGCAAGGTTGAGATGCGTCAATGAGCCAACCGGGACATCATCAATCGTTCGTTTAGAGCAACTTCTTGTCGTCAGACTCCAACCTGCCCAGTACCTGATAGAAATTAGCCACGGGCATCCTGTTTCACATGAGTACGTACCCAATGACCAGCTTGCGTATGTCTCCGCGATTCGGCTCACTAGAGCCAGGTTGCTGGCCTGAACAAGAACAAAGTTAGTGATCGTCGCATACACGTAGATATATGGGCCTCACAATTGCTCTGACATGTACTATCACAGTAGTCTGCTTTTACCCCACAGTATCCTGATCCACTGCAGCAGACTTTCAGTGGGCATGTTGTTCCAGGCACCGCTGCACCGCTGCCACACTCCGATTTATGGTCGCAGTTAGAAATGCAGACATCCTTTCCGCAGAAGTCACTTCCAGACCCACACTGCGAGTGTCAAACACTGATCTGGACAACATAAATATAAAACCATGGAAGCTTACCCATCCACTATAGGTGATCAGCGACGGAGGATCGAATGTGGACAAGGAACGTACGTCTTTCCATTACAACATTCACCTCCAGTGCAGGGCTCATTTTCTGTACACCTTCCCTTCTCTGCCCTTCGCCAAATCTCTGTCACGGTGTTCGGTGTGATTGGAGGTGGCAGTACTTGCGCCTTCCCAATGCGAGCAGGGCTGGGCAATGTTCTCCCTCCATCAAGGCGTGTTGCTTGGACCGCGCATTCTCCTAACGAGACAGTGCAAAACAATATGGACCAAAAAAGCAGTCTCAAAGACGCATTCATGGCTCGTGGACTCGAAGTCAATCTTCTTGACTCTGACTGACGGGAAATGAACAGAATGAAAACAACTAGTAAATGGAAACCATTAGAATAATACAGGAACGATGATCAGTCGCGCACGAAGCATGCTTCATCGCCAGCCACCTTTCGCATCTAAACGCAACCCTAACATAAGAATCTTAGAGTAGTCCAATGGCTGAATGTATCCATACCCCGGTCGCAAGACTGGCCTGAACACTAGTAGAGAGGGTTGGCGAAACTTCAACGCACTGGCGTTCTTTTCCGGATAAATCTATGGACCTGAACGTGCCACATCGGCTATAACAAGGCGCACCGTATTGCTCTGATATTAGTAGGAGCCAACAACCAAAATAGTGCTTCCAAGGTTCTATCGGCTAGATCCTCCTCATACAATTGCGCACTCTGAATATATTGCACAAGTGTGGAAATAGAAAACGCCATGCACTTGCTGTTGATCCTGCGAGAGTTTACCCTAGCGTAGGATTGAGCATATGTTAGTCTAAGCCTCACAGTCAGGGCAAATGCTTGACTGGTTGCCTGAAATCCTGCTGAAGTGATAGATCTGCATGGCAATCTAATGCAGGATTTGCACACCAACTTCGAGTTTTCTAGAATAGGTGTAATATTAGCTAAATATATACAAATCTCTTATAAAAAATCGT